GCACACCCTGGTCTTTGAAGGGTGGGTTTTTCATTTGAATTCATATCTATCATTTGGACACGTTTTTCTGCTGCGTTTCCCCTATAACCCAAAGAGAGAAGCCATTTCCCATCTGCTTGGAGATCATGTGTAGAGTTTTTGTTTCCATCGGTGGGCATGGGGAAGGAGATTCGCATACTGTACTATATACAGCCAGTGACGACGGAGAGGCAGGGCTTTGTTTTAAATTTCACATACTCAGAAACATCCATTTCTGAAAAAAATCCCATCTTGTCAATCTCCCCCATAGCATGGGGGAGGAGCAGTTGGCAAACTTTCTGTAAAGCGCCAGATAGTAAATATCTTAGGCTTTGTGGGACATTTGACCTTTGCTGAAACTGCTCAACTCTGCACAGAAGTGGCCGTAAGCAATACGGATTTGAATAGGCATGACTGTGTTCAGTAAAGCTATGTGCAAAACCGGGCAGTAAGGCTTGGTCCCTGGCTCAGGGCATCTCTCGGTGCTTCACTTTGGAGGCTCACATCTTGGTTTTCTGCAAGATGGCATCCTATCTGCCCTCATGTAGAGGGGGTGAGCCCAGCAACGGCTCACATCCACTTAGGCAAGAACGTACCACCACCCTACCTGTGCCCCAGGACACACCTTTGCACAATGAGACCTGGTGAGCCTTACAGGTGTAAGCCCTCAAATTAATGAGCTTGCCAGCTGCCCTGAGTATCTCATCTCAGTCACGTCTCATCTTCTCCCTCACCAAATATTTCATTCTATGGTCTCTTCTTCACACTCTCAACTAGGGCTAGCTTTCTGAAGTGTTGTTTGGTTACAAAACTCTTGTGTTGATGGAGAAAGTCCATCATGTCTAATCACGGCATTCAAGGCTCTTTATAAGCTGGCCCCAGGGCTGACTTATCTATTAGACACAGTAGGTATAGAAGCTGGGGTCCACGAAGCTTTTCACGGCCCTCAAGCATGGTTTAATTTTAATTTCCTTTAAAGTAGAAGAAAATGAGTATAATAATAGTAAGAATGAGTATATAATAATGAATCCAGGCTGGGTTATATT